TGCGATATTGTAGCAGTGTCATGGGGAGAAGTGCCCGTAGTCAGGCCCCGGGGATGTAGCCATATCGGTGAACCTCGTTAACAAATATCGGTGTTGTGACTCGTGTAATTGCTTGGTCCTCGGTAGATAAACGGTGGCCTTGAATTTATTCTAACATACGCTTGTTGGCGATGAATGGCAGCTGAGGCTTCCCAGGGATGCTTGCCAGCATAGACTGCATGCACTGGGAGTGAAAGAACTGCCCTTCTTCTTGGCAAAGGCATTATAGGGGCCATGTCAGGGCTTGCACTATCATACTTGAGGCCGTGGCCTCACAAGTTCTTGGGATCTTGCACTCTTTCTTTGGCATAGACAGATCACACAATGATATCAACGCGCTTCAACGCTCGCCTGTGTTTGCAAGGCTTGCCGAAGGCAATAGCCTGCCGGTGAATGTTAACATCAACGGCCACAAAGGATACTACCTAACTGACAGTATCTATCCTTAGTGAACCACTATTGTGAAAACAATCCCCAACCCCGTCGAAGAAAAGAGGAAAAGATTTGCCCAAGAGTAAGAGGGTGCTAGGAAGGATGTCGAACGTGCGTTTGGTGTTCTACAATCTGGATGGGGCATCGTTCGGTATCCTGTTAGAACTTGGAGCACCAAAAAGTTGTAGGTCGGCCGCGTTTGGCTTAAGGACAAAGCACGTCTCGTTTGGGTCGGCGCGTTGGAATTTCTCTTAAGCCAAACGGATACTTTATCTGTCACGTATGTGACAGGGATGACATCGCGGATAGCAGATGGTTTTGCACCACGTATGTGCTACGTACATGCTACGTACACAGAAAATTTAATTTACACCTGTGTGGCTAGCTAGTGGATCGTTAGTTAATTAATCTTTCTTCTTATTGTGTTGGTCACTCCAGCTTTACCAGGTGTCACCATGGTTATGTGCTTTCCGAGTTACGAGAATTAAGGTAGGTACACTAGCCGTGGCCGGAAAGTTATTCCAGTGATTTTTTAAGCCAATTCAAAGGACCAGTGACTTTTGAGAGTTCAAGAGCTAATTTGCCACGCATACACTCTTAATTAATCAACACATTGCTGGTCCTACCAGCACAAAAAAGTAGTAAAGGTCAAAATTCGAAAAGCATCCGTACCTTCTCGTGGATTTTTTTTAAGCAAGGCATATAGAGGGTGGATCGATTAGGTGGAAGAAATATAGCTAGATTCATTGCACCCGCATGCCGATTAACTGATCTCATTCCATTCGACCACGAGGGTGGGTGGGGGCGGGGGTATTGTATTTGCTACAATATTTCTTTGCTACACCCCACACGTGAGCATAATTGAGGAGCAAATCACCCATGCACCATCATGTTTGGACTTGACCTGGTCAAGACATGCTTGCATGTACCTACGCCTTGAGTTGAGTTCTCTTTTGTTTCCTTGCCATTTCACTCCACCTCACCCGTAAACCCCAGAAGCCAAAAGCACATAACCATATTTTGTTGCCTTCATACTATGAAATGCTCTTGAAGCTCTTAAGGGATACCATAACCGGAATATCCTGTCAAGGGGAAACATGACCTTAATAAACGTCATCTCGAGGCTTGGACTCGAGGGATAGTAAGATCAGTAGGAGAAGGGCAAATCTAAAAATAGAGCAGATCTCAGGGCGCATAGAAATAATTCAGAACACTATGGCCTGAAGTGAAGGACAGGAATGAACGGAATCAATGATTAAGGGACCTGGTTTGTTGGGTTTTGAACTGTTAAATTGATTGAACCGAAACCAACGCCAAGTACGAGTTATTAAGTGCCAAATCAAAAAAAGCATCACAAACACAAACTTACAATAAAAAGAAAAAAAATTCAAAATCTCATGGGTGGCGAAGTCTTCTTCTTCCTGCATCCACCGGCGGCGCACCGTGAGTATAGCCCGATACCGCCCTTGGGACTTGGACTCAGTGGGGTTAAAATTAAAAAAAAACTAGGAAATTGTGGAAGCAGCAGCCGGGAAGTCGTGGATGTAGACCAGGAGACGCCGGTGGCCGTGATCTGTGGAGCAAATCGCTATCCCGGAGAGAAAAGCCATCGATAAGAGCCAGTAGAAACTCCAATGATTACCAAGACCGCAAAAAACTGTGAAAATTTCACCCATGTCGTTGTAAGACAGGTCCGATTCTGATGCCGAGCTCACCGCCGTCCAGAACCATGCACTGATGCCATCTTCTTTGATGATCCAGCCATGTCGAGCCATCGATGAAGATCTCTGCACTGGATCCCTCCGACCGCCAACGGTTTTACCAACAACGATGTCGTTCACTACCAGACGAAGCCGGTCGCATGAACACGCATCTCCTTTGTTGTCCCACAACAACCCTCTAGTGCCTCCACTACATGTCCACGATATAGACCTCCCCATTGCCGCTGACGTCGTGTGGGCTTTGCCCGGTGACGTGCCCTGATGGCGACAAGAGGGATGGATGACGGGTGGCGGCTAGGGTTATTCGATCATCAGCCTCAGTCGTGTATCTTTGAGGAAAAATGATTAGCACCAGAGAAATTCAAACATAACATCTACCTTTATCCACTATCTCTTCTTGTTGGCCATGGAAATTCCGCAGCTATTTGTTATTATTAGACAAAAACCTTCTTCTTTTTCTTTCTTTATTTTCAAAAATGTAGACGTCATTTCTCTGTTTATATCTCCAGGGATTCTATTGTCTCTCTTGCAGATATTCCGTCTCTCTGTGGTCTCTGCATCTAGGTGTTTGATGTTGTTTCGTGCGTGATTTAACCAGGAATTTTATTTTTAGATATGAATGAATTTCGTAAGAAGTTTCAAGCATCTATTCTTTACTCAATTTTGATAGGAGAGAGTGGATTTGGGATACTTTCTGTCAACTAAAGCACAAAATATTCTTTTGACTACTTCTCTAGAATAGACTTAACACAAGAGATATGTTGCATTGGAAGAACTTCATAACAGATTACTCATGCGTCATGTGTGGGCCAAATGCCTTTGAGACCAGAAAACACCTCTTCTTTACCTGCCCATTTGCTAAGGTATTTCGGTCTCATCTTTGTCATAACTAGTCTCCTACTAATCAAGGCATGCAGGTGGAACTCAATAACCTCAAATACCTCTTGGTTGTTCCTTTTTCTTTGGAATTTTTCATTCTAGATGCATGGGCAATTTGGACTACATGTAGTGATTACATTTTAAAAGGGGTTACTCCAAATTTATACCATTATCGGAAGAAATTGAAAGACGAGTTAAAATGAATTTTATTTAGAGCCAAGAGAAAAAAATAATATACTTTGAAGGTTGGGTCCAAGATATCAGATAGTTATAGATGTTGATGCTTGTTCTATTGTACTTTTGTAATTACTCCTAGTTTGTTTTATATTGTTTTGGTTTCTTTTGAGCATTGCCATAGAGTGGGAAATTCAGTTGCACATGATGCTATTTTGATTACCAATTAATAAAGGAGTTGTGATTTTTTTTAAAGACTATAGAAGTAGGTATATATAGACCAATATCTCTATCCAATTTTCACGTTGAAAAAGATGTTCAAGTTTTTCCCTACAAAAAAGTAAAATATGAACAAAGAAAAAAAGAGAGGAGGAAATTGCAAATGGGCCGGGCTCAAAAGAGCACGCCTAGCCCTCACCCGCCACCTCCTTCTCCTTCAACAGAAACCTGGAGGTGCTACCTTGCCGTGAAGTGTTGGCCTTAGCAGATGGCATCGCTCTGCCAAAGATCATTATTGAATGTGATAGCAAGACTATAGTAGATGATATCAAGGGATGTAAAGGAGGAACCTATGGGACGCAGTGTTTTGGCTTTCTGGTGCATCTGCACCCGTGGATGCACAGTAAATACTTTAAAATAAAAAAAAATCCGATTACTTTTGTAATGCTAGATGTTCATGTGCATGAAGTTCGTGCCAACTTTCGTGGAGCTTGGACATTTCAGTAGCTCTCAGCAAAAAATAATTTTTTTTGAGGTTGTTAGAATGTTTATTGTTCACGTACTGTTTTGACTGATGTGTTTTTTTCATAAGCTCCTCATATGTCCGAACAACCTGAAATTTGGCACGAACATTATGCATTGGATCATCTTTCAGCTAAAAAATTCAGACTTTTTTAGTATTTTTTTTTAATTTACAGTTCACCGGTTGCAGATAAGCGTGGACACCGAATTGAATATCCAGAGCCTAAGTTAGTGAGAGTAATAAATTAGAAACGTTGTGGTAAGGTAGATGATCGAGAAAACAGTACTAGTATTCTAGACGCAAGAGTTTAAGATCCACTCTTTGACCATAATTCAGTGAAGTCAACGTTTTGACAACGATATGAAGCATAGATGGAAAAGTTAAAGCGTTCTCAAGTTTTCCTGCTGTCAATGCATACACGAGATAGTCTTGTTTTTTCTAATAACTACGAATTGTCTTCTACATATATCACCTTTCTTACTATCAAGCTTTTGTCCATATATATTATGAATGGTATCATATGCACTCATATCGTTTCAGATGATATCGATCAAAACCACATGTCAATTCGATGTTGGGGAAGATGAAGTTCAGAAACTCCCTGTCTCCCCTCAGAAAACCTGCATACGGAGTGTTGCATCGCCAACCTTCTATCTTTTTCATCTGAAGCTTAGGCACTTCACTATTTGTAAATCAGTTCACCATACTTTACCTAACAAATTAACATTTGCTTGTGGAGAGACATACCCATAATTTCTATCCCATTGTGCATTCATAACTTTTCGTCCCACCCACTAAAGCCATATATTCAGACGATTTAAGCAGCTTACTTTTGTTGGAAAAGACAGGCGGTGAGGTCATCATTAACGGCCACCAGCATATACATAATACATGTGGACCGATGGCTGGCCGTGCAAGTCAGTCCACTTTGTACGACATCATTCAGGTATAAGTAGCCAGTCTCCTTAGCTTGCAAGCCTGGGTTCTTAACCGAGTAGCAACCAGGACACCAGATGCCTATGAATATGCCACAAGGTCTCACGCCTGCTTCTGCATCCATGGCGATCCCGACGGCGCATTCCTCACGGCCGACGCTGGGGTTCCCCCTCGGCACGGCGCTCCTGCTCCTCGTCATCTTCTCCCTCAGCGGCATCTTCTCCTGCTGCTACCACTGGGACAGGCTCCGCTCCCTCCTCTGGTCTCGACATCCCGGTATGCTCCAGGAAGGTCCGCACACCATCATCTCCATCGGATCAGCGCCGAGCAAGGCAGCTTCCGAACACAAGGTACTAGCAGCAAGTCAGCAACTGATCTCTCTATTGTGCAACTTATTTTCAGTTTTGACACCGTTCCGGAATATCATCTATATATTGCAAACTAAAGCTCATGAATATCGGCCCGGTGCCTTGTTGATTGCAGAGCAAGAAAGCTGGAAAAGAGTGCGGGTTGCCCGTGATCATGCCCGGGGATGACATCCCCAAGTTCTACGCGAGGCCCTGCCCGCACGAGGCGTGTTTACCTGCAGCAGGCCAGCAGCAGCAGCAGAGAAGGGCGATGTCGAGGTGCAAGTCAGATGTTCAGTTTCGTGACACCGTCAGTATCTGTATACGAAATCGTAGTTAGCTAGCTGCTAGCAACTTATGATTGATAGATAGATTTGTACATACACAAGCGACTTCTGATTGATGGATTGATTGTGTACAAGCATGCGTTTTGATAGTTTTTCAGAAAAGAGGGGAGAAAAAAAAAGTTATTAGATTGTCATTTCAGCAAAACCAAGAAAAGTTCATAGTAGCTTCTTTTTCAAATTATCTGGGAATTTGTTAGCGTCTGTTCTTTCCGCGAGGTTTTTGAAAAGGAAAAACGAGAGGAAATTAGATTGCCGCTGAACCAAATAGGATCCTTGTCCTGTGGTGCCCACCCGTACGTACGTACGTCGTCATGGCCACTGAAGAACAAAAGTACAGTGACATAGTTTGGCATATGTATATGCACGAAAGCACGATGGAATTGGATTAGGACATGGACCTAACATTCATATCGGCTGGGATTGTGGTGAGTGCGGTATTAATTAAGTCCGGCCATGACATACTCTGGTCCGTCCTTATGCACGGATACAACAAGGACGTGTTTGGTTGACTTCACAACCTCCATCCAGGATTTGGGGGACAAATTTGGCTGTTTGGTTAGTCGCGTGTTTGGCTGGGTCTGTGTCGCACGCTCTTCAAAGCAGCCCAGAGCCTAGCTCTGGAGGAACCACCGGATTGACCGTTTCCGCTGAGCTAGGCCCGAGGGAGTACAAAGAGTACACGCGGCTGCACGAGCGGGACGAGCGGGAGACGACGCTATGTTTCGTGAAGGCACGCGAGAAATCACCTCATCGCTCAATCTCCCATGTCTCCATGTCACTATCCTCTCACCTTCGGCGGCACCATGAATTCATGATGAGCATCGTTGGCTGGAAGATCTTGATGGCGAGCATCAGCGACCCGACGATCTGGATGATGATCATCCAAAGGCGCTTCATCACCACTTCGCCAATGAAGGTAAGTCGAATCCACCAAATCTGCATGTAGGATGCAATCTAAGCCCGATTTAGGGTTTGACATGGTTCGGTTTGGGGTAAGATAGGATTCATTTGGGGAAGATTGGTCACTAGACCTAAAAGGTTGCAGCGCACGTGTCAAGCTTAATGATCGTCATTGTTGTGCAGTCAATGTAATAGCTCGATCCTTGGTACGAGGGTTGGTTCTTCACATTGTAGGTCTGATCCTTGTACCTGCTCTCCTATTCTAGATCATTCAAGCTTAATTGTTGTGGAACCAATATGTAGTATGCTAGAAATGTGGTAGTGTGTTGAGCTTCATTATCTATGTTGTAGTGCTGTATTGGCAAGCTGGTCCTCGACAATGTTGTTGGCAGCTGCTTGAAGGATGGGGGAGAAGACATCGGCTTCAAGAGGTGAAGGGGGAGGCTGACAAAGGCTGGCCACTTCAATGAGGTTTGTGGAGAAATGATGATGATGATAATGACGGCAATGCACGTCCTCAACATGGTTTTCTTTGTTGTGTGGTGCGTTTGATCTTGAGTGTGCCCGATCAGCGGGTATTGATGATAATCTTTCGATTTTTGATAATTAATTGGACAACTCCATTCTTCTTTCTTAAACAATAATTAATGATTTTCACAAAAGAAAAATAATGAACAATGCAAATCTTTCTACGTTTAAAAAGCTCGATGATGGTGCTTGTGTCTTTTTATCGTAACCCCACCCTCAGAGAGAGAGAGAGAGAGAGAGAGAGTACAAACACAGCCAGGCAAGAGGTCCAAGCAGTACTAATCGGCCAAAAAAATATCAAAAACAATTATGCAAATACATATGACTGTTCGTCAAGTATGTAAAAAGTTTCATCAGGTAAATCGATTATTTGCATGCTACACACAGAAAAAATATCTGGCCAAAAAACAACAAAGATAAAGCCCATTTTAATCTGTGTATTTATCTTTTTTGTATACATTACATGTTAACATATATGTTCATGAAATTTTATACGTGTATACTACAAATATTCATCTATGTATATACTTTTTCCAGATTTTTTCAATGTGTGGAAATAGTATTTTTGCTGGAAAAAAATAAAGAGCTCTGTGGAGCTTGGCCTCTGCTACGCTTTTTCACGCCCTTCTTCCCATTTTTTAGTCGGCAACGTGGCCCTACCGACCAAATAAAATCGTTTGGAAGCACCACAGTACCCCATGAGCCGGACATGCATGTTCTTCATCTACTACTATGTAATTATTGATCATGATAATTTTCGGCTGCTCCCCTCCCCTTCATGATCATTCAAGCAATAAATCAGGACGGAGGTAGTACTAGCACTCTAATACCAATAAATAAATTTAAGTAAAAACTGTGCGCACCATGGAGGGGAGGGGAGTATATACTTTTTCCAGATTTTTTCAATCCCAAACTATGTAATTATTGATCATGATAATTTTGGGCTGCTCCCCTCCCCTTCATGATCATTCAAGCAATAAATCAGGACGGAGGTAGTACTAGCACTCTAGTACCAATAAATAAATTTAAGTAAAAACTGTGCGCACCATGGAGGGGAAGGGAGTATATACTTTTTCCAGATTTTTTTTTCAATCCCAAACTATGTAATTATTGATCATGATAATTTTCGGCTGCTCC